TAAAATAATTTTATGTGTAATTTGACAAGTAGAGAGATTTTAGTTAGCCGTCCAGTGCATCACTGGGCGCCTAACTGGGGGACAGTTAGGGATAGCAGGTGCATATGCATTCAAGATTTTTCTAAGCCAAGCAAATCTCCAATTATATATGTGTTTAAAACGCCATAGTCTTCTTTTTATACATTGAAAGTGCAATAAGTAATTTTATGTCATTGTCTGAGTTATATCTTTAACCAGGTTGTGAGTCACATATATCGCTCAGTTTTTGCATAGTCTTTGTTGTATGTTGTTCAACGAGTCAACCAGCCCGAGTACAAAGAGGCGCACACACATTATACGCCAGGTGCAGAGACTACAAAAGTTTGGCAACATGAAAGTTAGGCATCCAGTGTACCACTGGATACCTAACTGGGGGACAATTGTTGGGGGTGTAAGTATGACATCACTCGATCCCACAATTAAATATAGTCCATTGAGCACATATGGGCCCGAGCCCATGAAACATCACAAAAGCCCAACTAAAGCCCAACTAAAGCCCAACAAAGTGTCCCAAGACTCTACCTATAAATATGCTCATAGGTCTTCCAAGTAAGGGATCTCTTCTTCTCCTCTTCTCACTTTGGCATATCACTTCTCTCTCTACACTATCTCTCTCTATACATGTTCTCCATGTTTCTCCATTACTATACTAATGTTGATCGTTGGAGTGTAGATAAAGGGGGCCACCCCCGCCTTTTCGCAGATCCGGAGATCCCTTGTTTCTTGGCTGAAACAATATCTATATGACGTGTCACATGTTTCATCTGCATAATGTTTGTCATTGGTGGTAATTTTCCACTACTTCTTGATCCAGAGGTCAGAATGGATTAGGTGCAGTTTTGTTTAAAACGTCCATTATTTTGCGACCAATCGAGATGAACTTCACCAAATTCCAGTTTCTGTGCGGATTATCTAATTTCCCATTACCTAGTTTTATGTTGATCCCACATGTAAATTTTTACTTTCACCTATATATAACACCTTGATGAATTACGCGTCAAAGTCATTACTTATTAATAATCACATACGCCAAACGAATTAAGAAGCATCTTCCAGCAAATGTAAGAGTGACATACAAAGTATCAACTCTCAATTAGAGAGAGAGTGAGTGAGGAAATTTGTTTATTGTACCCAGAGTAGGTGCAAACATGATATATATGTCCATTTTAAGTTTTAACCCTTCAGTGAATTGAGGAAATTAATTGTGTCGTGTCTACATCTTTTTGTATTCACCGCAACGTGTTTTTTACGGTCAATTGAATACTGAAAAATTGTCAGCGTCATATTTGTGCATGTACTTCTCGTAATTAGATCAAATTGAAGAGAGGAAGAATATCAATCTCGGAGTGACGTTGGTAGTAGGGGCTGCAACTCCTCTCGACTCTCGAAAAGTATGTAATTTTATATGTAGATTTGATAACAAATTAAAAAAATAAAATAATTGGCAAGACTCAAAATAATGGAGTGTAAATTTTTTTATCCTTCGTTAAGGCTTTCCCACTCCGCCACATAAGAATATGATCTTGTTGCTCCACAACATATTCTCCTGGCTTCTTGCAGATTTAAACCATCACTTCATAAAACCAAAAAGTAAAGCCCTGGATGGAAAAAAGGCCAACTTTGCTCAAATTGACTGCCCCCCGCCGGAAGCGACAACGAAGAAGCGGAGAAAGTTCTCACGTCCGGCGAGTGGCCACTTAGCCAAGTTGGTGTGAAGTGCGTCACCCTTGCCACGTGGCAGACGGGAAGAGAGAATATTGTGGGAAGAAAGATATGAATAGTCTCCGGCCGGCGGGCCCGACACGGCGGCAGTCCCACCCACTAGCCACTAATCATATTAATTTACGAATGCAGCCAAATAATGCACCATGTGATTTAGAAAAAGACTGTTTAATATTAATATGTTGATTAAGACTGCCTTAAATTGAATTAATTACAAACGGATGGCCTTTAATTATACACAAGTTACAACTTCCGAGAAGCCAAGAGGACGGAAAGCGGTTTCAGAGACTTCGACTTCCGTTTAGAAGAAATAATATATGAATAGCTCGAAAAAAATAATGTAAATCAAATATTTTTTTTCATAGAGAAAATTTTGATTCAAAATATGATTCATTCGATCTAATTGTCATTTGTTTTTTTTTTCCACACCTTCATTAAATAAAAATTCACTTTTTGATTTTCAGTTTGTCCAAGTTGAACATATCATCTCCTGTATCAAATCATTGTTTATATTACAGGTTATCATAAGAATTCGAACACGAGACCTCTGTATTTCTTGTTCAATCAGATTATGTGGGAATAATGTACAACAACTCAACCTTTCTGTAGCTACCACGTACACAAAATTCTCGAAGGTCGCTTATCAATCAATTAATACGATGCTGCTCATATGTATATATATTCACATGATAAACGAGTTGAATTGGATGCGAAAACGATAAGCAAGTAAGCAACTGATGATCAAATAATATCGGGAAAAAGGAATGTGAAAACCGTCAAAAATCATAGATTGGCCGGTAGCCGAATGCCTTGGAGACAAGCGAAAGAGAAGACCGCATGGAACATACATACCATGCCATATACAGCGACAGTTGCAAAAAAATGAGTTAGGGTAAATGTCACTGTCCTCTTAGCTTCTTACCATGGTACTGAATACAGTTCTATTAATTTATTGTAATTAACTCATCCATTCTTGATCCAGATCATAGCTCTTCGAGTTGCAACGTGTGTTTATTATTTTAATTTGTGACTAATGACTTTTTGTTCACATTTTGGGAGGTGTCATTCTGAAGAAAGTTCGCTTGTTGCGATTTTCTATCAAGCATGCGTCGTTTTATTTCGCTCAATATCGGTAATTTAATGATGTCCTCAGCCATACCATGCTAAAGCAAAACCTCTTATCTTTAGTTCAACAAATTGTTGACCAACATGTTTTTCTTATTTATTCTTAAAGTTCGACCTGCACAAGTCATATTTGTATTTATATTTTTTTATTCCTCTCCGAAATATCTATGGCAAAAATAAAATAAAAATACTACGGTACAATTTCAATATTTATAATAGACAATCTTAGTTTTTTTTTTGTGCAAAGATAGCGGTAAAATGTCGACCTGTTCGATATTTTGGAACTTAAGAACACAGCAAATGAAGGCGAAAAAAATGATTATTTCATATCTTCACATGTCAACCTCTACGTATCTTGTAAATATGGATGCACATCTAATTAACTGTCACATTATTTTTCAAGCCAAATATAAATTTTGGTTCAATTCAAATAATGCATCATGTGGTACTTGGGTCCAATTATGAACTCGTACAATTCTTCAAGCGAGCTAAGAAAGTTCACAAAAACTATCATATATGACTCTCGTATATATACGCGGCTCATTTTGGGTGGTATAAAGATACATCAACCATCAAGATTAAATTATAATTATTGGGTTTTTTTAAAAATTTTAATCGTACACTTGACTAATATGAAATTATTCAAATCCAACAATTGATAATAGATATTAGAAATGTATATTCCAGAACAAACCTAACTCAACTACTAACCCCCAATTAGGGGTGGCAGTTCGGTTACCGGTTATTGGTTAACCGACCAATTAAACCGATAACCGGCCGGTTATCCACTAACCGGTAACCGAAGTAACCGAACATCGATCTGTTATCGGAAGCTGGCCAAAATGGTTTTTGGTCTTAAAAGTGGTTCGGTTAACCGATAACTGAGGTAACCGAGAAACCGAAGCGTATTTCGGTCGGTTTTCGGTAAGGGGAGTGTTTATTTCGGTTAACCGATAACCAACCAATCGATTATCGATTATAACCGAAATAACCGAACTGCCACCCCTACCCCCAATCCACTAGCTAGTTCCTCTGCTTTAATTTATTTCTTCCAATTGAATGGTGGGAATTCAGGGAACTCGGTTTAGTTGAACAATTTCATGCAAAAAAAAAACCCCCCAGAAAATCAACCCTTCCAAAGTCCACTAATCCCGCCAAACCCGTTGACCATGAGGAAAAACAAGATCCAAAGCGCTACTGGCCACACGAGTGATATACAAAGACCTGAAGAAGAGAAGAGACAATCGCGTAAGGACTTTCTGCTTCTGCCACGTAAACGTACGTCGCCAGGAATACGTACAGAGACTTTCAACTCCGTTGACCGGTTGGCCTTCTTCTGTTACCATTGCTCTCTTCACCAATCAAACCGGCCAGTCGCAAACATTCCCGCTATTTTCCCCGTTGGGCCAAAAATGAGACCGCCGGAACAGAAGTGAAGAGAAAAAGAGATCGGTGCATGCATGGGTGCTATTTTCCCCCGATGACATAAAAACCGGCCATCGCCTTAATTTATTCCGGACCACGAACTAGGGATGACAATATACCCTACCCGTTTCAATCCGGTAAAAGCGAGTAAAACCCAAGTTGATAGATTGTAGGATTGGGTTCGCAATGAAACTAGTTGTACGTGCATGTGCCCTTTCTCGCGTTGAGCTTCTTGCCTGGGATGCGCCAGTTGTTTTTTGTATGAGATCAATAGCGGAGATATATAGGAGAGATGCCCTTGGAGGATCTGCATGTCTTGCAAGAAGTTCATGTTCTCGGATCGTCGTTTGCTCAGTTCGACAGTGTTTTTTGGGTCGTCGTAGTAGGAACAGAGTTGCTCAGATCTTGTGGCCCGAAAAATCATTTCATTGAGACCGTTGTTGCTGGTGGGTTTCGAATTTGATACTTCAGAGTTTGTAACTTTCTTTTCTCGATAACACACCACGAGTTATCTAATGACGAGAAGGGGAAAAAAACCACATAAAAACAAAGACTTGAAAAGATTTTTTTTTTCTCTAAAGCCCGTTCTAAATGCTGATCCGATTACGATTAGGGCAAACCCAAATATCAGACATCAGTACTCACGACTTCCCGTCGTCAAATCCGTCCATCGCTAGGCGCTCCACGCCATGACGAACCGCAGCAGCTCCGCCGCGAGAAAACGGCGACAACAACAACAACAACGACGAACCACTTCACAAACCGTACCAAACCCTAACCCTCCCGGACCCATCTCCAACCTCGGAGACGATCTCCTGCTAGAAATCCTCATCCGCCTCCCGAGCCCTAGCTCCGCCGCCCGCTGCACCCCCGTCTGCCAGCGGTGGCGCTCCCTCGTCTCCGCTCCCCTCTTCATCAACCGCTTCGTTTCGGTTCGAATCACCGCCCCGGTCGAACCGATCAGCTTGATCACCTCACCCGACTCCCCGCCGAAACCCATCCTGAGCTTCCTCCCACACCTTCCACCCAACGTACGACGCCGTTTCAAGGTCGTAGATTCCTTCAACGACTTGGTCCTATGCGGGTACTCTGACCAAATCGAGGACGGGTACGGGTGCACCGCGTACTCGATCTGCAATCCGTTTACGAAGCAATGGGTCGCCCTTCCTCTAGCCCCACGCAAGCCCCTCAACCTGAGGGTGATTGCAAGGCTCGTGTGCAAGCCCCGAAACTCGAAACGTTTCGAACTCGACGACGACGGGGAATCGTCGTGGTTCGACTACTCGGACTACGAGTTCCGGGTCGTGTTGATGTACCGGTGGCAGCCCTACTGGCAGGGCTCGACCGCGGTCGACGTGTTCTCGTCCGGGTCGTGGGGGTGGACCGAGGCGGTCCGGGTCCTCGACCACCCTCAGGTGGGGCCCCGCGGGGCGAAGAATGTAGTTTCCTGCAACGGGGAGTTGTTCTGGTCGCGCGCGACGACGAGGAGGGCGACCGCGTTGATGAATACGATGATGATCGCGTGTATCATCGTATTCATCTCTTCGCGCTCGACCCCTTTTGCATCCATCTGCCCGCGGCCTCGATCGTGGATCGAGTGCGCGGGGAGAGGCCGGCCAGATTCTGGGACGTTTCGGTCTCGCGAGGCGAGGTTCACTTGGTTCGACTCGAGGTCGAGTTGGACGTCGACGCGCTTTATGGCACGAGGAATGTCTTGAAGGTTTGGAGACTGATCGAAAAAGACAGTGGCAGGGTATGGTGGGAGACGTACTCCAAGTTCTTGGAGACGTCGAGTTGTGAAAAATTCGACGATTTGGAGTGTTGCATGCTCGTTCTGCATCCGGAGAAGCCGGAAATCGTATTTTTAGAGGTCCGCGATAGTCGTCAGGGCGGTAATAATAAGGAGACTACTACCACGGTTTTCACTTGTGATATGAGGAAGGGAAATCTAGAGTATTTCGCTCGAGTGAAACGAGGTGCGTCTCGTTGGCCGGTATTCCATCCTCGAGCCAACAAGTGTTTGCCTACCCCGATTCCAAGGCATCTGAAGGGAGCCTCGACTGTTTGATTCAGAACAAGTCGTCGAAGCAACGATAAACTTCCTATTAGAAACCGGTAATCGCTCACTTCAGCTGCTTGCTATAGGAATCAATGTTTTACGTTTGATGCAAGCGATCCCTTTTGAATAGTACAAACCATCGCAATCTCTAAACTCTGTCGATATGAATATTTTGAATACTCACAATTCTTATTTGTGGCTTGCTTAATTGATAGTAACACAATGTTCATTCTGAATTTCAAATTCCATTGGATTTGAATTTATCAAGGCATGTGTCTCTCATACTCTCATTAATTCAACGTCGTCCCAACCCAACTTTCTGTTGCCATTCCTACTTCCTAGCACTGGTACATTCCAGATCGACCTTGGCAGAAACCACGTCCAAAAATCTTTGTTGGCACATTCTAGATTTTTTTTATCTATAAAAAGTTTCTTGTGAAATTCCTTTCTAAGCATTCAATCCATCATTGTAGCTGGGTATAGTTTCTTTCAATTACTCCAGATGAGTACTTATCCGGATGGAAAGAGATTTCAGAAAGTCAATCTGTCCCATATGATATAAAAATAAATATATAAGACAATGCACGAAATCATACTGAAATATCATACCGGATAAAATAACATTGTGATTTGGTCTTAGTTTAGTTGAATTTTTTGTACCAAATAGATGAGCTACACAACCGTACATTCGAAAGACATAACATCATTGTAAAGTGAAAAAAAGGGGGGAAACCCCGTTATTCAAAAGGGAAAAGTAGACATAACATGGGACTTGTAAATCCAAACATTTCGCATTGATAGTCAGTCTCGTTGTTTGTTTTCCCTCTCCATATTCCAGTAGTTCAGAATCCGCAACATGCTCCGCAAGGCTGGCCTATGATCGAACACGCACAGCATAAATTATATTTGCAGCCTGAATCATACGACTTACATGATTTCTTCTTAGCTATCGTGTATTGGTTAACTGTGGATGCGCTGCCTTCGGCGCCTAATACAAAAGCAAAGTACGAACAAAAGTACAATTATGCAATTTAATTACGAAACTTTAAGCGTGTAAGGTATAAACAAGCTGATGATCATTACTTAATATAGGGCTGGCTGTTTGGTCCGGGTTTTTTGGTTTTACCCGAGACCGGACCGTATAACCCGGACCGAGACCGGATAGTAAACAATCCAATCCAATCCAATCTCAGGGCTTAGATTTGAGGTAAAAAACCGTTCGGGATCGGATCGAAAAACTGAATAAAGATGGAATAAGAGAGCTCAACACCCAAAACTTAAGGGTAATTTGCATAAACGGTCACAAACCTTTGCACTTAGTACAAAACTTAACCAACTCCTCACCGCTTCAGGCCTTAGGCCACTCAAATCCCCACAAGCTCAATAGAAAATCAAGACCGAATTGGGACCGGAACGGGTCAAGACCGGATTGTATCCAATCCAATCTTTGGTCCTTATATTTTTAAAAAGACCGAACTGGACCGGATCAATTTGGGTCAATTTAACCGGACCGGACCGTATAGCCACCCCTAATTACTTACCGTGGTTCGAGCGGGGGATCAACGGGGTCGCAGCCATGGATGGAGGCAGCATGACGACATGGAGGAAGGCAACCAAAAGCAGACCCAACCCGATCACCACAGCTTTGTTGGAGTTCATCCTTACAAGAAAGCTAGTCAGACGCAGCAGGAAGTGGAGGGAGATTAGGGTTTCAGTAGTTATCCTGCCTATGTTGATGATGGTAATTATGTGGGGTGTTGATGATTTAATTTATATATATAGGCAAAAGCTAGCCAGCTTGGCAGGTCTTCTCTCTTGTCCTGTCTGTATATATGATTGTGTAAAATATAATATCCAGAGTTACGTACGTTATGTTGATCTACATATAATTTGACGTTAATTTTCATTCATGAATTCCAATGCTTGTGCGCTTGTTCTTTGCATCTTAGCTGTGGGAGGATTCGATTGGTTGCCTGATTCTCAGAAACACGTTTCAGTTTGGCGAGAATTGTTTGAAGTTTAGGTTAAGATGGAATAATCTTTAGAGGAGAGTTGATTGAATATAGAGTCCCGGGAGCTTGGTACGTAATTGGTATCATCACCAAATCTGTCGTTGTATATGTGGGATTTGAGCCCCATCGGATCTTTGGATTTGCCAATGGGTGTGTTTGTTTCAATCTCATATTTTCTGTAAGTGTTTGGAGAAAGTAAAATTGATAGGATGATAAGGTTTTTTTTTTTTACTTATTGAAAGGTACATAGTAGGGCTGAGAATTTAGATCAAATCGTATGAGGAATTGCGGTCTAGATCGTATCATATAATTTGGACTGTGAAACCAAGACTATGATTTGCTCTGGTTTATGGCCTCCTTCTTTAGTGTGTGGTCTAAAATGGTCTGGACCGTGGTTTACCACAGTAAATCGTGACAGACTACTTTCTAACTCACACCAAAATAACACTAAATTAAACCTCCATTTTTGTATTTGAAGAACTAAGTTAGTTGATTATTCATTCAGTTGAGACCCAACAGATTGCCTAAATGATCTCTTATGCATTATTTCCTTATCAAAGAACCACACAAAAACATGAAAGATTCGTAACTAATATTCACTGACAATGTTTAGACTATATATGGAGTCGATAAAACATAAATACTTAGAAAAATTCATTCACCTTGATGAGATAAGGAAAACTATTGAGATATAAGCGGCCATCTTAGTGATTTAAAACGACTTCGACGTCATCACAACGCTGATCGACTATGAGAACCTTCCAGATCACACGAGAGAGTGAGAGAAGCGACAGCACAAAGAGGAAGAGGGAGACAAGGTTATTTGATGTATGTTTTTTTAATGGATAGTGGATAGAGCTACTCGAGAGAGAATTTGAAAATTGAAAAAGTCTACTTCTCCCCTCATATAATTCTTCACATTTTAATTATGATCACTAATTTTTTTTTCCACTAGTATATTGGTTACTGAAATTTTAATTTGTATTGATACCAGGGAGGATAGTAGGGCGGAATAAGAGTGAATTTTCTTAACAAGGTTTGTTTGGTCTAGATCGTACCAGACTGCACCGTCTAGTATATGGTATGGCCATGATCTGTGTCCTAGTCTCTCTGCCTGGACCTCAAATGTGTATATGTTTGGTCTGATTCAGACAGCACCGTTTCCTAACCTAGAAGTAGGATGGTGAATAGTGCTATAACTTCAAAGAATATAATAATAGCTATTATGTGAATGATTAGGAATGTAGGATGGTAGGTTTTTTCACTAAATTACTGAACTTGTAGTTGATTAGGAGGTCTTAATAATTTGAACTTGTAGAGGAAACTCCAGGTCCTCGCCCTTGGTCGACTCATCACCCAACGTGAAAATTTAAGCAAAATCTTTTGGTATTCCATGGCAAGGCCTTAGAAATATAAAGCTAAGCAAACATACATATAGCTAGCTAGATAGATTTTAATCGAAAATCAAATGAAGGAGCAAAAACATAGCAGAGGAGAATAATTCAAACAAATTTCACAACTTTCACCAACAACAAAAGAAAAATAAATAAAAAACAACAAATTTCACCCAACAAATTTTGATCATAAATAAATAAATAAAAATAAACAAAAAAAAGAGCAAGTTCTCCTTATGCGGTTGGCTGGCTGATGGGTGCGAGCTTGTACTTGGGCGGTGAGATCCATACAGGCATAGGGCTGTTACGTATAGAAGCAGAGAGGACCTGAACAGTGCAAGTGGTCAGATTGTAAATGTCTACATCCTGACCTGCATATCGGCTTTCGTTCCACCATGGATAGCATTCATCAGTAACATCGTCGGTGAAGTAAATAGAATTGGCCTTCAGCTTCGGATGCTCCTCCATCGAGACGAAAGCAGGAGAATTAAAACCGATACTATCCACCTCATCCCATCCTCTCCAGCCTTGATAGTCGTTTATCCGGCCTTTCATCGTCGGTTATCAGCTTGAACACTCTAAACTTGTTGGTCCGATAGGTTACGATGTTAGTAGCCGCACCATCACCATCAGGTTCATCAACAACAGCAGTCGCCGCCTCTTTCTCCTCCTCGCCATCGTTGTATTTTGCGGCATACTTAACACGGCGGTGGCGGCAAAAGAGAGCCGAATTCTCCGGCGAGACACATATGTGTCTAGTAACCATCATAGCGGTTCCACGCGCACACGCCAGAAGCTGCTGCTTCGCCTTCAAAGCATGGTCCATGAAACCATACCGGATATCGTACCGGAAAAGTGAGCGGGATGATATTTTATGATAAAACCGTAGTTTAACGGTTAGACCGTTAAATACCGCCTACCGGTTTAGCCTCTGATACTGGTATTTCGTGGTTGAACCGCCTGTACAGTTTCATGGACCATGCTTCAAAGTTGAAACTACTGTTGGGCCGATTTATGGACTTACGTGTTGGGCCTTGGGTTTTGCATGGAGTCCACGTTCTACGTAACATACATATATTTCCGTTGGGCTTTTCTAATGGACTTGAGTTGGGACAGTGTTAGGGGCAAGAAGCGTTTATCACAGCTAGGCCTAGATGTGTGATGGATGTAATGAAATAGGATAAGTAATAATTATTAGCCAAATTTTTTTCACACCCTTTATATTAAAATTATTGAATTTTTAATCATTAGTCAAATTTTTTGTAATATATTAAAATAATATTTATTTTTCTATTATCGTTAATAATTTTCTGACTATTTATTTAGTTAAAATACTAAAATTTTGGAATGCTGACCTCCGTATGTCTCTTTCAAGTCAGTATCATGTTGCCAAACAAATATTACTAACAAAATTACTAACTTGAAGTCGACATTTGACTAATTAGTAGTAATTCAATAGATTTGACTAATGAAAAAGAATACCGAAAAGGTTTGGCTGATAATTAGTCATTACCCCCATGAACTAATGATAATAATCATACTCTATATTGCGGTTCTGTTGCCTGTTTTCGTTTAATCTTGTATTGTTCTTCCTGAAACATCCCGTCGACTAATGTTACAACCACGAACCAAATATGACACTGAAGCACGTATTTGTACGATTATAATAAGCGAGGGAACAACGAAATCCGATAGTAATGCCAAATAAGTAAGATCAAGAAAGTGGATACAATATGAGCCATACATACGAACGTACATAACAATAACATTCAAAAGACAAAAACATTTATTAAGGGAAGAACCCATTATTCCAAAGGGAAAGTACGTACACATATTATAGATCGATTTTTAAACCCAAACAAAACATAATTTCATATCTTGATAGTCTTGTTCTTCCTTTTCATCCCGCCTCGCCACCAGCAGTAATATTTTACGAGTCATCATTAGCCGCAGCAGGCTCCGCAAGAACCTATCGAGCAAGAACAGCAGAACTTTGACGGGCAGCTTGTGTCAACCGTGTGACACTTCTTGCCCCATCCCGATGGCTCAACTGTGGGTAATGCGCTGCCTCCGCCTGCCATCTCTGCAAATACAAACGCAATAAGTACGTAGAAAAAAACACAATCATCATCATGCATAACGTAAGGTACGTACAAACAAGCTGATTATTGTCAAATGTAGTATAAAAAAAACGCGTTTGTACGTAAAAGCGTAAGTTTTTAACCCTTTAAAACGCTATATTTTGACTACATTGATCGCAATTATTTCATCTTTGCTTACCCTGCAGGTGCGAGCGCGGGATCAATGGGACGGCAGCCATGGATGGAGGCACCACGACGGCATGAAGGAAAGCAAGGAGAAGAATGCCGAACCCAATAACCACAACTTTGTTAGAATTCATCCTTACAAGGAATTGTTGGCTATAGCTAGTAGCTAGGCTAGCTAGCACCAAGAAAGCTAACGCGGTAAGGAAGTGGGAGATTAGGGATTACAGTAGTGGTTATGCTGCAATACGTTGATGGTATGTTGGGTGATGATTTATATAGGCAAAGCGCTAGTTATATTAATTATGTCTCCTTAGAAACAAAACAATACCATCGCCATTAATCTAACAGCTAGCTAGCGGATTGGTGGAGGATGCGATGCTAGCTGGGATGGATTGCAGGTCTTCTCTATTGTCCTGTCTTTCTCTGCGACTTAAGTACATGATAAACGTGCAAAATATAATATACAACCAGATTCGTGAATCTTACCATAGGGAGAAAGAGTTAAGAATTGTGATCTATGTCCATTCCAAAAGCATAATGACAAGGCTATGATTCACAATCTGTGATCAAGGTGCGGGTTACATACAAATAATAACCAATCACTTGAAGAGTTTTAGGCCATGCAACCTATTAATGTAGGGGTGTAAGCTTGAACCTTAAAACCCATTGATATGCCCCGACCCGCTCCGATCCTGAGGGTTGGGTTAGGTCAGTTTATCGATAGGGTCAGTTTAGGGTCGGGTCATCTTTTGACCAGATAAGGGTCGGGTAGGGTCGAGTAAGCTTAGGGTCGGGTTTATTTTTTGACCCTGTGACCCTTAGCAACAACTAGTGCATGAAATTATACATGGCAACACATAGGACCTATTTGTAAAAGTTTAGGTGATAAATTTGTAAAAAAAATAAATTTTGGGTACCAAAACGTAATTTTACCATCAAAATTTAAGGGCTTATTTGTAAAAAAAAAATTAAATTTTAGCTACTAAATTGCATAGTTAGTAAATACTCTGTTTAGTACACGTATATGTACCAATACGTACTTTATTCGTTTAAAACTTCCGTATCCGTATTATTGTCAAGCCGTTCAATTTTTTTTCCCGTTCATTTGATGTCTCCCGTACTAAACACATATAAAACCCGTACAACACGTTTAATATCCGTATTTAATGACTTAAATTGTTAACTTTATAATTATTTATATATTTTTATTATTTTAAAATAAATAATATTATATATTTAGGGCAGTTCTACGGTGCCCAGGGCAAAATCCGGGGTACGGGTAACCGGGGGCAAGGAAAATTACCAAATGCATCACGAAGCGTTTATGGTGACTTCTACGGACTTCAACCTAACTGTACCCAGTTTAATGATAGCGATTAAGAGGTTAAACCCTATGGATAAGACCCGCCGCCCTAACCAATTTCCAGTCTCCCTTCTACGATCCCTCATTCGCCTTGGAGGGTCCCCTCTAACTCTAAGTTCGAAGTTCGATCATAAGCTGCCTATCAAATCTGAAATCTCCAACAAAATCATCGTTTCGAAACCCAAATCCTTTTATTATTTGATCCACATTCGATTTAGCTCCCTATCCAATCTCAAATCCCCAACATCATCATGTTTCATACGCCAAATCTATGTATCCACATTCGAAGAGAAGATCCCCATCCAATATGAAATCCTCACATAATCATCGTTTAGAACCCCAAATCCTTTTATCCACAAATCGACGTTTTGTTCATCGCCATTTTATTTCCGTGCGGAATTTACTCGCCTTACTCTTTCTAACACGATTACGGCGACCATGTCTATTATTGTGTTCATCAAACTTTTCGTTTGCAAAAGAACCCTTGAAAGAGATTTACTAACCCTAGGGTTCATGTCGCTAGTGCTTTGTCATCTTGTCTTAGCGTTATTGTCATTTTCTCGAAACTTCTATCACTCGGTGAAATTAAGGTTTCCTGATATGCAGTGTTCGTCTCGCCCAGAGGATTGAGGAAGGAGATGAAGAAGACCTAATTTGATTCGAATCAGATGGAGAGGTCTCCTTAATTTGTGTTTATGTATTAACGCTGCGTTTAGGACTAATTCTAGTTGGACTGGGTCTGATCATTGATTTTTGCAGGCTTTTAAATAACATTCAAACGTGGGCTTGTACATGGACCCATGACACCTAGTTTGTTGATAATAGATACTGAGTTCCGGATTGTCATTAGGTTGGGCCTTTGATAATTGTCTATCTCAGACTCTCAGTGGCGATTCTTTGTTTTACTTATTTTCATCTGCTTCTGCTTCTAAAATCCTGATCATTCATTGAGTTCACGCAATTTAAACATAATTCTGTGTTCCATCTTTTTTGGAATTTGGTAAATGTTAGCGTGTCTCTTTACACATTTAGCGGTACGAGGTAAACTACAATCCGCCCAATTTAACTCTTCATTAATTGAGATCCCATTCCACTCTCTCACCGATTTCCCCTCTTTATGCAATGCACTCGTACATAACAAACCTCTTGTAGACTAATTAGAGGCTTGTGGTTGGATACTGAGTGAGGATATTTTTTGAATTTATGTTTTGAAACGAAAGTTAGAGTTTCACTTTTGAAGTACCTATGTACTTTAGTTGGGCAAGTATTTTCAAAATGTAAAATTTTATCAGCGTATAGGTATACGATTGTTGTATAAGGTGTTGATGTTAGAGGAAATGGGTACTGACTGCTTAGGGTATTAGGTTGTTGATGGTATAGAGTATATGGTATATGGGTAGGTTATAAGGTGTTGATGGTTTAGAGCATATGGTATCGATTGGTTAAAGGGTGAGGGTAGGTGTTGTCTTATTTTTTCTCGATTATATATTTTCTTTATATTTGCTTATAAATGCTGATCATGCCTTATTACTAAGACATAATTCGTTATATCTGCTTATAAATGCTTTATATCTGCTTATAAATGCTGATAATTTATTGTTTGATTTGAACCTGCGTGTTTTTGCTCCGAATGATTTTGTAGTGGCGTGGTAAAGACAATCCGTCCAATTTAACTCTTCATTAATTCCCCCTTTTCTTTTCTGTTTTGGTAGAATAATTACCCCTTTTCCACTCTCTCAGTCCCCGCCGAAGTTGAAACAATCCCCTGTGATATATTTATCGATCATTTTAACCCTTCACTCAATAAGAAAGCGAAATTATGCAAGATGGTCATCAATGTGATGTAGCTTAATTGGTTAATTGTCTCTTATTTGCTTAGTCAATAAAGTAGAGGTTTGTGGTTCGATACTTAGTGAGGTATCAATTTTTAATTTATGTTTTGAAAAGCGAGTTATAATTTTAATTTATCAGCGTATAGGTATACGATATTGTATAAGGTGTTGATGGTTTAGAGTACATGGTATTGGGTTAGTGTATTGATCATCTCCATCCCTAAAATAAGATATTGTATAAGGTTTTGATGGTTTAGAGTATATGGTATTGGGTTAGTGTATTGATCATCTTCATCCCTAAAATTGAACAACAATTTCTAAACGAGGTCCCTACCGCCACATCATCAATTTTAGCAATTCATCACTTAACAATTTCTATTCATCTACATCCCTACATTATGCTAGTAATTGCCAAGGTGGGTTCCATTTTATATTTCAAAGGAAACACTTATTATAAATTGAAAGTTGGGGATGGAGATAGAAGAAGGTGTTGTTGGTATACAGTATAAGGTCTTGAAGGTTATGGACGTATAAGGGAAGGAGCAAGGTGTTGATGGTTTAAAGTATATATGTTATTGATTGGTTACGGTATAAGCCTATAAGGTGTTCTTATTGTTGTAGAGTATATGATATTGATTGGTTCGTGTATTAGGGTTTGGTTTAGGGTTTAGGGTTTAGGGTTTCAAGTTAGAATAACATAAACCAGATCAATAGAGTAATGTTGGTAAACGAAAAAGTTAGTTAATCTACAAATTCAGACTATTTAAAAAAGTACATCCCCATTTCCCACCGTCAATTCCTAAACTTTTCCCTTGATCCGATGGTGAAATACCTTCGATCCTCGTCGCGTGCGTGTCACCCAATCAGATATTGCCGAATTCGGAAAGTCGCTTTTGCCCATAACCAATGCTGGCGTTACCAAGGCCGAGGCAGTGGTAGGGACTGTAATTTTCAGTAAATGTGAAGGGAGGGAAAGTAAAAGTAATTACGAGTCAATCTTTAAATTCGTTAATAGGCCGTGCTCCGATCCTTGAAAAGAACCCTTTCTTCCATCTTCTCAATATGAGACTCCGAAAACCATCTCCTGCTGCTGTTCGTTCCTCCTCCTCTCAATCCCTGAAAAGAACCCTTTCTTCCATCTTCTCAATATGAAACCCCGAAAATCAACTCCATCCGCCTCTCGTCCTCCTATCCCATGCTTTATTTTCGGGTGCAGTGGTAATGATGAGACTGCGTATTATTTTAGATCTCATTTCCTTTCATTATGTCATTGTTAGATCGTGACTGTTAAACTAAATCCTTCGTTGTATTGTTTCTCCTTTTCTCTCCATGCAGGGTCTTTGTTAGAGGCAGGGAGGGGAGCAATGACAATAAGTCGCCGTCTGAATATAGCCAGAAGAATCATCACATGTTGTTGCGATTCCATAATAGGTGTTGTGGAACCCTACTTCATGTGGTGATTCTTCTGCGCCATATTGACGCGTACTTGTTGATCATGCTCCCAAAATGTATACAAGATAGGAAAGTTGCCATATGTATAATAGGATAAAATAGGGAGGGAAAGTACAGCTTTTTGTTTTTGTTGGACTCTATGTAACATTTGTTTATATTTGTATACTGTTTTGTTATTTTTTCTTCTGCTTCTCTCTTCGCTTCCATGGCGGCTTCCAAAAGTGTTTGAGATCTTCTAAATCTGCGAGGGATCCTCCACTCCCGATAAAAATACTGTACTTTGTACTATTAAGCGTTTGAGATCTTCTAAATCTGCAGGGGATCCTACACTCCCAATAAAAATATTGTACTTTGTACTATTAGCGTTTGAGATCTTCTAAATCTGCAGGGGATCCTACACTCCCAATAAAAATACTGTACTTTATTTGTTGACTACTGACTCCATTTTTAGAAGTCGTTACGATTGGGCCAACCGGATTTTTTGCCGGATTTCGAACTCTGCTCCTCTATAGCCACATGCTCTACACATTTAATGAGTGCTCAAAATTAGTGCAAAAAATACGATGTAATAAT